AAATTATATCTCTCTATATATTATGTATAATATAGATATAGAGATATAAATAAAACAATGTTAACAATAGGAAAATATGGATAAAGAGTATATGGTTTCTTTGCACTATTCTTATTCCCGCAATTTTTCTATAAGTTTGCAATTATTTCTAAATTAAAAATTTAAAAAAAAAACAAACAAAAATCCTTAACTATAATTGTAATCCTGACTCATAAAAAGGTCCCCCCTGGTCTGGCCCCTGCCTGCCTTTCCAGCCTCATCTTCATTCACCTCAAAGAACCCAGTGCTTTGGTTATTCTACATTAATTGTATTTCCAGACCACTCTCTATTCTCAGTTCCTTTACAGTCTACATATATAGTTTTCTCTGTCTGGAATGCCTTTATAACTCATTCTCTGCTTGAAAACCTTCTAATCATCCTCACGACTCTGCTGTACTGTCTCCATCATGATGAAGTAGTTTAGCACACTGGATTCAGAATAGCAACTTTGCACTCAGGTCGATTGGGGCTCAAGACCTGCCTAGCTCTATACTTCCCACCTATCACCTTCAGGCAAGTTATTTTCCTCTCTAAGTTGTCCCATATGCAAAAAAAGGATAAAAATAGTGAGATACCTCATAGGATTGATGGGAGTGGATGAGAAAATACACGTGAAATGCTTAGCACAAACTCTGGCGAATTAAGTATTATGCATTAAATGTTAGCTTTATCCTTGTATTCTGTGAATGAAGTTTTTAAAAGCAGGGGAGTGCGGTGATCCAATCTGTGACTTGAGAAATCAGTTTGATGAAATATGTGAAGTATGAACTAAAATGAAGTGACACTAGTCACACCAAGGCACAATAGCAATGGGCAGGGTCTCTATACAGGACATAGGGCTTGAATAAAATGCCAATCATTGGGGATAAGGGAAATGATGAGAGAAGTCATTTCTAAGGTGGAATCAATGGCATTTGACAACTGGATGGGATGTGGTGGTGAAGGGGAAGGAGAACAGTCTTGGTTGGGGGTCATTATGAACTGAGACAGTGAATGACAATGAGGTGGCAGGCATTTGGGGAAGTGGGAAATAGTAGGTTCAAATTTCGATAAGTAATATTTGAAATCGCTGAGGGTGCCCAGTAGAAGTGACCGGCAGATAATTATAAATGGATGTCTGTGTTTGAGAAACAGGAACCTACCTACAGGCTAGAAATCAAAATGGTATAAAACACACAGCTCTTGTAGTCTTCAAGTGTAAACATTAGAAATCACTGTGTGAAATTTGCAGTTCTGGGGTTTATTAGTAAGCAGATCTCTCACTTAACCTCTATAATATTAGTATATTAGTATACCCATTAAAGCTCCAAATCTAGACATAAGGTTTACTGGAAACCATCCCCCATTTTTTTTTTTTCTTCTAGTAGTAGGGGCACTTTCTAAGGAATATGGAATTATGAAGAATGGGAGCCTTGAAGTAAGAGTGGGTTCAAATCTGAGCCTGGCCAGCTGTTAGATGGGTTGAACTTAATAAATGATTTAACGGTTCGGAACTTCAGTTTCTTTACCTTCAGAGGATGGCAGTGGAAGCCTTAGGGTTGTTATGAAGATAGGCAAGATAGCATAGCAGTCAGTACCATGAACCCTGAAAAAAGACTGACCTGGGTTTGAATTCTACTTGTGCCATTCATTAGCTGTGTGACCCTAACCGAGTTTCTGAACCTCTCTGGGCCTCAGTTTCCTTACATTTAAAAGAAGGGGTCATTCAGTAGCTATCAAATATGGTAATTGTGAAGACTTAATGAATTTTCCAAGCAGAGGATAAAATGAAGGTAGAGAACAGCTGGTATTGGGTCAACTACTAACATGATGAAAACTAAAACACATATTTAAAGTTTGCCATGATAAATTTTTCCTAAAAGTTCCAGAGGATAAAATTATTTATAAAATTGTTTAATGTTATTAGAGATTTTGCCTTATTTATTTAAGTCATTTCTGAGGATATCTTTCAGTGGAATATATCAACACATGACTGTGCCCTTCTCAAACTAACTATATATTTTGTTTATGCAAATCATATGACTATTTCCTTAAAAACACTGCCGACAAGTGTGGCAATGTCGACCCTCATTAATTTTGCAGTAGGTAAGGTTTTGGTTGAACTTTCTGGGCTTTCCTCTTGGGCCAACTTGAGCAGTCATAGCTTCCAGTTTTTTGCCACATAAAGTAAAAAAACTGCTTTAACAGAAGAGGAGAGATAGCATTAATTTTTCACTTTTCCCAGTAAGCCAGAAATCATTAATTTTCCACGAGTAGAAGGAAAATTCCAACTTACTCAGTGAATCCTCCCCCATTTATGCTCCTGTTAACATACTCTGTCCTTGGATCAATGTGTCTATTACATGACAGTGTGAAGACTCAGTGTCACCACTCTCTCTGCATGCCTGCCTACCTCATAAAGCAGGATGACTGGAAGACTTTGATATTGTTTGTAGACTGCTACTTTGTTGGATGCAAAGGGCCAACTGCACTCCCTGCTTCTGCCACTCTCAAAGCCCACCGCCATGTATATTTTCAAGTAACCTTTCTCTGATATCTATTTTTAAAGTATTACAATTATCCACTTATGGAACAAAAACTAAGCAGTCATTATTTACTCTGTTCTCTGTGTCAGCTGTTTCCTTTGCTGTCTCTGAGCTGGTTCAGCAACCAGGGTCATGCTTACCAGAATTCCACTCTTTCTGCAGAGAGCAAGGAATCAATACCCCAAGAACAGGGTGAAGGTGCAAGGCAGAGACCACATAAATCGTTACTGGGCACCCAGAACACCAAGGCCACACTTGGGGAAAGACTTGCAGTCCTGGCAAAAGAAGAACGATTCTGTTATAACTGTCATCTGACCAGGACTGAGTTTTTCAGGGCGAAGTGGCCCTTCTGTTTCAGAAGACTGTAAATGAAGGTTAGACTCTCAGTATGACACAACTGCAAAGTTATCTGCTCAAATGTTTCTGTTCATAGACAAGGACACTGGTTCCCAGAAGTGTCTGCAGATGTTCATAGTGCCCACCAGGAATTGAGCTAGGACTCCTAACTCGCGCTCAGTGCTCCTTTCTTTTTATTTTTCAATTAGAGTTAACATTTGATATTATATTAGTTTTAGGTGTACAGCATAGAGGTTAGACATTTATATCTTTTATGAAGTGATCCTCCAATTAGTCTAGTACCTACTTGGCACTATACATAGTTTTACAATATGGTTGACTATTTTCCCTGTGCTCTACTTCATATCCCCATAAGTATTTGTAACTGCCACTGTGTGCTTCTTAACTCCTCACCTTTTTCACTCAGCCTTCACAACCCTCTCCAATCTGGCAATCATCAGTTTGTTCTCTGTATCTACGAGTCTGTTTCTGGTTTGTTTGTTCATTTGTTTTGTTCTTTAGATCCCACATATAAATGAGATCGTATGGTAGTTGTTTTTCTCTGACTTAATTCACTTAGCATAATAGCCTCTAGGTCCAATGATGTTGTCATACTCGGTGTTCCTTTCTTGATATCACAACTTTGCATAATACAGATGGCCTCGGATTTGAGGATCACTAAACAATACAACAGTGATTAATCTTTCTTTTCTGAGGAAAACTCATCGCAGATCTGAAAATGTACCATTCTCAGGCATTATGGTTGACATTATACATTAAAAATATATATATTGTGAAATGGGTAACTAAAAGGCCAACACTGTCGTTAGAATGTGTTTGGCCTGGCATTAGGCACATGTAATTGAGAATCAAAAATTAAAATGCAACTAAAGAATCATCCATGCATCTTTCTAATTTTCCATCCTAGCTTTACCTCTCATCACACCCAATTCCTCTTCCTTTTCCTGTGAGAATATTTTGTTTCTACCTTTGCATGTGGTGTCTCCAGTGCCTATTCTTTTTTCTCATATATTTACTTCCTCAAATTACTAGATTTTTCAGTGTAATCTTTCTTTTCCATTTCTAGTCCCATAGGTTTTTGCATCTGCTATATTCTAGCACTTAATGGACTTTATTTAGATGTGACTGTCTTAGTATTGTCCCAAGCCTAATAGTGCTCAGCAACACTGCTTCTCCTATATTCTTACAGAATTAGATGTAAAACTTAGATCAAAGCAAAGGAATGGTGAACACAGGATTCATGATGATAGTTACTTCTCATAGAAGGCAACTTATTTTTATGGTGAGTTTGTAGGTCCTTATTACATATTTAAAATAAATTAATAAAAATTCCATATTAGGTACAGTAACTAGAAATTACTCATACGAGAGAGATTGGCCTAGTTGGTATCAATTACTCCACAAAGATTTCTCTGACTTTAAAGCATCTAATGTCTAAAGCTCAAATGGGTAACTAAAAGGTCAACTCTCCCTTTCACTTCTTGGGCTTGATTTTTTATTGGAACTCACTGGTCACTAGACATTTGTTTTGGATGTGAGCGGTTAAAGTTTTAGCAGAAACAATCGTTATCCACAGGAGTAAAGTAATCCCTAGAGTTGGTTATTCAGTGACATGAATCAATGGTGCTAATTTTGAATCCCTTTATTACCACAACCAAAGAACATGTATTTATTCTGCGCTGAGGTATGCACAAGCATCTAAGGCGACGATTTAATAAGTCAACGCCACGAGTTCATCTTCCGAGGAGCCCGTGGCTTTTCCAAAGAAGGGCCCGCACTCGGCCAGACACCGGAGCGCGAACCGTCCCGGCTCGCTGCGGCCGGGTGACCTTGCCCGACACTCCCCTGCCGCGAGGCCGCACCT